ATACAATGAAAAATGCCTTACACTTGTAAGCTTGTCTAACCATGTAGTTGGTTCAATAAAAGATGTCAACCCCCCAAAATCCTTGCCTCTTGAACATGAAGTGAATTTTCCAAGGGCATTCTTCTGTTTAACGGCTTGAAGTGCTTTAAAAATTCAGATAATCATCAATATTCCCAGCGGAAACTGAGGCACTAAAGGAGCAAGTGGTTTGCCACTTTTTATGTAGTAGATCAATGAAAAAGCTAGGAAGGAGAACTCAGGACTGCTTGGCCCACTGAAATCAATGATAAAATACCCATTGACTTCAGTGATGCCACGATTTCACCCCAGTTCTTTTGACTTTCTGTCCCATAGTCTACCTGCTAGACAAGCGATTCTCAACCAGGGTGTTATAAGATCCTTTTAAAGGTATTGTGTGTTGCTAAACAATATCAGCGCTACTAGGTGTATAAACACCACACATGATTCACAAGATAGATCCAGAGATTTCAAACAGGAATTCATAGTGTGTGTGTGTAAATTAAAAAGTTTCATAGTTTCATAGTTGGTAGGGTCGGAAGAGACCTAAGCAGATCATCTAGTCCGACCCCCTGCCACGGGCAGGAAAGGATGCTGGGGTAAAATGACCCCAGGTAGGTGGCTGTCTAGCCTCCTTTTGAAGACCCCCAGGGTAGGGGTGAGCACCACTTCCCTTGGAAGTTGGTTCTAGCTCCTAGCCACTCTGACAGTGAAGTAGTGCCTCGTGATAGAGTTAGAGTAGTGTTAGACGGATGTTGTAGCTGTGATGGTCCAGAAGTTATGGGAGAGGCACAAATTTCTTAGGGTGATATTTTTACTGGACCAACTATGTAGTTGGGATAAAGTTAGACAAGATACATTCTTTATCAGGTCTCTGAGATGACAGGAAGCCAGGTACAGCATAGTGAAACACAGCAGAGGGGAGGGACTGAGAAATTTTCAGGGGTAGCAGACACAATTAACAGAAGAAAAGAAGTTGATTGCTGGGAAATTAAGGCCTATCAAAAGGGAAGAGGGTCGATTTCACCTTCCTTGTGTGGAAAGAATTCAGGAGTTAGATAAATTATAATGTATCATAAACTTGATATCAGTGTTTGCTGCTGCAGACAGTCCTTAGTTCTTAGTGTCCAGCCAGGTTATGCTTTTTTGTTCCAAAGTTTGCCCTCTAAAGGTGTTGAATAAATTTCCCTTAAACATGAGGATAGTGAGGTCAGAGCAGGAGTAGTAGTTAAAGAGAGAATTCAGTTTTGGTTTGGTCACTAGGGGATAAAGATATAATATTTACAGACAATCAAATATAACTTCATTATATTTTTTGGAATGTTCTCACTTGGAAAAAGAAAATGTGAAAGATGTTTCATAGCTTGTTCTCCATGTAATGTTAACACTTCTTTTTCTCTCCCTATTCTTTTTCTTTCATTATTTTGGATTAGTCCTCTCTGCCTTTGGTTTCTTGCATTTCCCCCTTATTTGTGTATTTCTCCTTTAATTCCTTACATTTCTTCAGTCTTGCTTGCTTTACTCCTATAGCCCCATCTTTTCCATGGTGTCTCCCTACTTTTTGTTTCAGTTTTGATCTAGGGTTGGTCAAACTGACTGATCAAATATCGGTCAAAAATTGTAAAAAAATGCCAATAGGTTCAAATAATACACAGAAAAAGTAAAAATATCCCATTCAAATGTGTCCAAAAACAATAAAAATTATACTTCTGTCAAGAAAACTACAAAGAAATGTAGTTCCTTCCCCCCAATTGCTGTAATCATTGACCGGTTAAAAAAATATGCAGTCAATTGACTGGTCAATTGACAATATTTGATTGGTCAATTGACTGGCTTGCCAACCCTAGTTTGATCAGCTTCCTGATCAGTTTCATCAGGAAAGGAAAATGATTACTTAGCATTACATCAGTATGGTAGTAGCACTTTCCAGATGGAACTGAAATTAACAATTTGAAATGAAAGGCTTAAATTCTGGCATATGCCACTTTGGTGAGCCACCAAAAAACTTGCTTGTAGAAGGGTAGATGACATGAATGGGTGTCCTGTAAGTCCTGACAGAACTGCCATTTCTATAGTTTACCAGTTCTACCCTGCCCTTAGATGAGTGGTAGGAATGAGAAGATATCTTTCACACATGGCTGTTGTTAAAATTCTTCATCAAACTGAGGCAAAACTTATTCCACCTTCAAGCAAAGGGGAAAGAGAGAAATATAGCCAAATCAGCAGTAAGTCACTAGCTGGGAACTTCATCTTATTTTCCACATGCTATAGAGTCCAACTTTGCCTTTCTTCATAAGAGAGGACTTCAGGGTAGTGGAACTTAATGTTACATGTCTTTAGCACCCATGTATTGGGGACACAAATTCAAAAGGCTGGACTGGTGACATTGTGCAGAGGCTTTGGTATTAAGTGGTGCAAGGTGTACACACTTGTAGGAAAAGGATTCGTCCTCTCAGCCTGGGCCATGTGCTGGCATCAGCTTTTGAGTGTTAAACAGGCCACCTCTCTGTCTTTAGATTGTTTGTACAGATTCCAGTGACACAGATATACTACTTTTCATACATTTCACACTGGGGAAACCCTATCATCACCAACAAAGGATAGAAGGGCTAGATACTTTTTAAAATTAAAAGCATAAATTCTGCAGATACTGTCTGAATAAGGCTCTGCTATATTCTGTGCCTGTTGATACATTCAGGCCAAAATCCCAGCAGAATTCTCTGTCTAGATTTGTGGGAGGGGTTCTGCCACTTATTGTTTTGTATTAGCTCTAAAGAATTTTCTCCTTGGTGCTTAAATGAGAGAATATTCAGGAAGGCAAAGGGAAAAATGAAGGACTGCTGCAATCCTGTGCCCAAGTTAAACAAAACATAAAGGAATATCTAGGCCAGCGAACCTTTGTCTGACACTTTTTCTAATTTAATCTGATAACATAACTATTTTTGAAAGAATGGATGCATTAAGGCAACCATTCAATGAGTCACAAAGAGGGCAAAGGGAAATATTTAAAATTGGCTGAGACAAGAGTTATTTTTAATTAAAAAATGCTCAGGTATGTGACCTGCCACATGGAATATAGTGGGGTACTTTTTAAGTCAAAGTAAAAGATAAACGCCAGCAGTACAAACACATGCAGAAAAGGTGGGGAATATTTTCTATCCATTTTTCAAATTAAAAAAAAAAATCAAGCTTCTTTTTTGCTATTTCCAACTCTCATATTAAAAATCTATTAGCAGAAAGGCTATTGATGGGCTGACCAAGAGCAAACAGACTTTTTCTGGAAACAGTTCCATTCAGTTCTCATGGCCAAACAAAAGCAGATTGGCACATTCAGTTATAGACAAATGTCTTTGAAAGGGGCCTTTCCATCCCCTTTTCCATAGCCACGCGTTTCGGGGTCCTGTATGCTGAAGGAAGCCAGTGAAAGATTGAAGGGGGTGGGAGGACCACGGGCTACCACGGAGATCCTTCAAAGTCGTCTTCTTCTATAGTGGAAGGATTTCCCTTTAAATCCTTTTCAATAGCATATTGATGGCTTTGAAAGCGTAAATGGCATTTGTCAACCATCAGTAAATCTTTAAAACTGTTTCTGCAAATAGCCGAACTCTGAGTCTCAGCTTTTCCCATTAATCTGTACGTAAGGCTGCTGAAGACTTTTTCAGAGCCTAGATAATGCCTGGATTAAAAGATCCATTCAGAAAGGAAAGCTTTAGCATTCACCTTGTGTACATAGCCATTTCACCAGTGGTATTCATGGGTTGTTATTTCAACTCTGCATTTGTCTTGCAAACAAGACATTTTGCCACAAAGGCTTGGTAGAGACATTCTTCAGTGAATTACTGAAACCTAGCCCCTCTATTTGTCATGGCTTGTTATTTTTATCAAATGTAATCAGTTCAAATAGGAACCCTAGATTGACAACTTTACAGTTATGTTACTATTTTAAAAGAGAAAGGTATGTTTCTTCTAATTCAACAATGAAGCTGATTAAAGCACAACTTGATTGCTTAATGTAACAAAGCACTCTTACATTTCTCCTACTGAGAGACCTGTAAACTGTTCTGTTAATTTTATTTTAAAATGATTAAAAGAAACTTACAATAATCATCATTTAACTGTGTTTTCTCTTGTGACTTCTTTTTAAAGACAAAGACCCTTTTACACATGTACTAGGTTAATTTTTTTCTCATAGTTTTCACAATTATTCAATTTATATTTTAGGGATTTTTTCCGTAATTTAGTTATCCTCAAACCCAGGGGTGGGCAAAATATGGCCCGTGGGCTGGATCTGGCCCACAAACTGATTCGATGGACAGGAGTTGGCCAAGTGAAGGATCCAGTCCACAGGCAGAGAGCGGGTCTGGCAGCCACATGGTGCCAGGCCACCAGGGCTTCTTCTGGCATGATGTGTGCTCTCTCTCTCTCTCTCTCTCTCTCTCTCCTTTTCTCCATCTCTCTCTCTCTGAGCCAAGGCTGTGACCATCATAGAAGTGGAATTATAATCTGCCCACAGATGTAGTATGCCCCACCTCTCCCCTGCACCTGGAGCCCCAACCCAGAAGCTGCTGGCTGCATTTGGGCAGCTGTGGATACGTCTGACAGCTGCTGGATCTGGATTGGGCATGGAGGGTGGAGCAGGGCACACTAAAGCTGCAGGTTGTGGGGGAGGGAGCAGGGAGGACGAGGGGAGTACTGAAGCTGCAACTGAGTTCAGGCTTCTGCACAGCTCAGGGAAGGAGGGAGGGAGACAGGAGAGAGATGTGTGGCCTTTGACAGGTCACCAAAACTTATTAAGTGGCCCACCAGCCTAAATAATTGCCCACCTCTGCTCCAAACCAAACACACACACAAGCACCTTCCTGCCCCATACATGCAAGCTTGCATTGTTTGGGTCACTCTTACCTGTGTAATATTTATATTCTTTCCCTTCTTACTTTCAGACATTCAGGCTTGGTTTCTCATTCACTGTATCTGACCACTACCAAAATACTGTCTGGGAATGGTTTAACTCTAAAGATTATTCCATCAGCATATTCTCGGGAACTCCATTCCTCTTCTTCCTTCATGAACCTGCTCTTCTATATAGACAGCATCAGGTACAGCATCTGCCTTTAGCTGCATGGGAGGGTAAACAAGTCCACTCCCTTTCCCCAGGAATTGTGAAGCCAGAGATCTGAGATATCTCACCGGGAACCTAGCATTTTGTCATTGTTGTTTAAATGCTTAATTAGAAATATTCATGCATAGGAGAGAAAAAGAGTAGAGAAAGAGGAAAAGAATGAAATGTGACTCAGAAAACTTTAAATGGCTGCCTGTGGAGATCACTACAAAATGTTTTTTACATGAAGATAAATTGTAACAACCTATCAATTAAAAATTCTAAATTCAAGTATCTTCAAGCCTATTCACTGAGTCTGCTGTCAGAAGGCTGTTATCTCCATGCTGGTCAGCTCATGGTGATGGACATGGAAATATTCAACCTGGAGGCGGAGTGAGATTCTCTTCCTCTTTTATACTACACAGATCTTATTTGTTCCTATAATATCATGCAAAAAGAGAAATATCTGGTTGTAGATTTATGTTTGCCCCTAGGATCATTTAAATACTACTATACAATCATTTCCAGTTTTTTACTCTAGTCCAGAATCTTTGGAGGATGACATTCAAGCAATTCATAACTGCATTTGGTCTTTTCATCTATCTCATTATGAACGTGCATCAAATTTAGTTGCTTCCACTACTGGAGGACTGTGTTACTGCTTTTTAAGGAGAAAATTCCCATGTTTTGGGTAAGCCTACTTATGAGAGAACTCTTTTTATCATTACCTGACTTGACAAGTGATCATCATATCTTCACTGTAGAGCTCCCCTGGATGGCTGCCACCCAGATGCACGCAGCCCATGTGTAAACAGTCACTGAAAAGCCATACCTGAGATACTGTGTCTTCATCGGTGCTATACTGCCTCCTAGGTGCCCCTAGAACTTCTGGAGGCCCATTCCATGGTTCTTTGTATTGCAATGAGGCCACTCACTGGCTCCTTTTCTAGTGAATTGTGGGAAAACTCATTTTTCCTAAGACCAGGAGAAGAACTGTGGGAAAGCACTGGCAAACAATCAATCAACACTTGAGAGACTTGCATCCTCACTGCAAAACAAGTTACCTAAGTGAAAGCAGAAGCTAGGCTCTAACTCCTCCAGCTAGTTGGGTTGAAATTCCCCCAGCCAGATGGATTGAAAGTATCACTAGGCATGGATTAAAGGGGTTTGCATGTGGATGGAAAGAGGGGGCTGGGGGCAATGAAAACCCCTTCAGTTAATACATACTCTGGCTGACTGCAGTGCCAATGGTGGGAGAGAGGAGGTGACATGTCTGCAAGATAGGGCACTACATACAGCTGGGGGCAGGGTGGTTTTGGTGTGGGACACTACAGGAAAAAACTTGCTTCCTTCCTCTCTCTCACCACCCTGGTCTGATAGAACTTGAGTTTGATGATATTCTGGGGCACATCCTAAGGCCTAGTTATTTACTCAGGCTTTTCTGTGGATGAAGGGAGATATTTTCTTTTATGTGGGAGAGTGAGGAGCTTGCTTTCACATTGTCAAGTTGTCAGTCTAAATGATTTGTGATGTGTTAAAGTTTTTCTTTCTTTTTCTTTCTGTAAGTCTTCCCAGAAACATGAAATATGTACCAATGGCAATATTTTAAAAGGCTCTTGAAACACCACTGGAAATGAAGAGGCCTTAGGTTCCAAAATTACTGAGGTACATCTGAAAATGTTCCCCCTCTCTAAATCGGGAAAACAAAAAATACTTTCTTTGTTGCAGACTATTTTCTTCCATGTAACCTTCATTGACTATGATTTAATCTCATTTAATTATCAGAGATGTAGGTTAGTGATTAGGGGCCTTTGTACACGCCACAAAATTGGCCTTTAAAGTGGCTTAAATGCCCTTTTGCACCACTTTTATGCTGTGACTGTTTACACTGTTGGCGGTGTAATGTGATTTAATGGCATGGCTGTTTACACTGTCGGCGGGATGTTGCACGTTAAATGACTTTGGGAGGCAGCAGAATAAAATATGTCTGAGGTGTTTTAGTTTGCTACCTTACAGCTGCGGAGGAATGCACCAAGCCCTGTGCAGCTCAGGGGCTGTACAGGCAGCCTGGGTAGGCAGCTTGGCGGCAACCTGTGCAAGAAGACTCCACTGAAGGAAAAAAAAAAAAGGGGTAAGCCTGTGCTATTTTTTTTCTCCCTGGAACCTGCCTGCCTGAACTGTGCAGGGGCCAAGTGCTTCTCTTCATGGCTGTCGGTTGGGGGCGGGGTGCGGTGCTTCCCTCCATGGCTATGGTACCCCCTGGGACCACCCGTGCCAGGTGCCTGTGGGAGGATGCCGTCTGGGGGTCTGCCACTGCTGCAGAGGGAAGCACCTCCCTCCTCCCCCCGCAGCTCAAGGACCGCTTGGCCCACCGGCAACTCCCCACCTGCCCCACCCCCGGCTGCCAGAGAGGCAGATAAGGATCAGGCCCAACTGTTGTGTACACACATGGGGGTTTACTTCACCCTAAATGCAAACGGTGTCTTTAAAAACCCACTGCTTCAATTTAGGGAGAATTAAACCGAAGTAAACCCCCATGGTGTGTACAAGCAGCCTAGGGCTCCTAAGCAAAAAGTCCTGATTCTCAGGACACTACAGTGCTATGAAGAGACATATGAGCTCTTATACTGAGTATAGCTGAATGACCCTCAGAAGAGTAATCCCTCAGTAGGAACACCACCTTAAAGTAGCTATACTTGCTCCCAGTACCCAAGTACCTCATTTATCTTTATGTAACACAGCATATTGTAGACATACCCTTACATTTTTTTCCTGGCATTGTCATGGTCTCTAGCATTAAAACTGTCACAGTGGGGTTATGAGACTCAACACTGTAGATTTTTTTGTGGGAAGCTAGACGTGGTAGTGGTAGATGAATTAAGTTCAATATGAAACCTTAGAACTTCTTCATTAAAATTAGGCTCGACTGGAAGGAGGTTAAGACTAAATGGAAACTTTAATTATTAGGGCTGATGGTTTGTTATTGAAGGAAAGACACAAATCCTTTTAGTTCTTTGTTTCTTTGGAAGAAAATATACAGGTTTGGAAAGCTAATATGAAAGGTCTCTTAGTACTTCTCTCAGGTCTGGAGATGCAGGTTCTGGATACCAACAGGTTGCATCTGTTTTTACCCCAAGTCCTATGGGAATATAGTAAAAAACAGATTTTGCTCAAAGTTGTGGGATAGAATAATTGTTTCCTCCTTTAAATGTTCAACTAATATGACTGAATATACTCTGGCTCAATCTGAGCCACAGTAAAGTAATCCCGACATCACCATCTATATATACATTTACGCACAGTAATTTACTGTGTTGCTGGATACTACTTGTATCTTCTGGGACTATCTGGTAGCACAGTAAATTAGTCTACTGAGCCCTAATTGCTGTGCATGTGTAGATAGTGACACTTTTCTGTGCAGCAAATTAGTCTGCTGTGCAGTAAAGAATCTCATGTAGACGCACCCAGGAAGTGCTTGGGGGCGGGAGGAGCTTAATCTTCATAATGGAATCCATTGGAAAAAAAAATTTGAGAGGGGATTTCCTTCCCTTCTCAGAGGCTCAGGAGTGTGCTATCTGGCACAAAGTAATTATGTACTAGTCAAATCTTCTTCTTTGATAATACTTAGCACTGTAGAGTACATTTCTTCCATAGATCTCAAAACACTTTACAAAAGAGATAAGTATTATTATCTTCATTTTAACAGATAGAGACTGAGAAATAGGGAGTGAAGTGATTTGTTGATGGACATGCAGCAAAATGAGTGATGAAGGTAGATAAAGAACCCAGATCTCTAGTCCACTGCTCTATCCAATAGGTCATATTGCCTCCTTCATTTATACAAATGATAAACCCAGGTTTAACACATCTGTGGCACCTCAGCAATTAGTTCATCTTTTCCTTACTTTCTTTTCCTTCATTTTTTCCTACTGCCAACTTTCATTCCCTTTGACTTTGCTATTACTTACAAACTAATACAAAGAGCTTACTTAATATGGGTGTAAATGTATGTAAAATATGGTGTGTCATAAACCTCATAGTTCCTAGCACAATGGGATCCCAGTCCTGATTAGGGCTTTTGAGTTGCAATATAACCACAATACAAATAATGAATACTATCCTTATTCTTATTTGACTTTGAAATGAAATCTGTTCCTTACAAATCTGTTTTATTCCTATCTGCTATTTACAACACAAACACAGAAAGCCAGGTCCTGTTACACTGTTTAGGAGTAGGTACAAACATTACATTTTGATTGACCTAACCAGGGTTAGATCGATTTAAATGCCCACTCGTGCAAGTGTCCTCAGGGTTTAAGTTGGCCAAAAAATGGTGCACCTCATATAAGTTAGTTCATCTCAGGAAACAAACTTAGATTGAGAAAGGGTTAACCTGATCTACAAAGGGCTTAACCTGATCTAGTGAACACCTGCATGCATTCGCAGTACAGCACCAAGGCGGGAAAGCCTAGCCACTAGCCTCAGCCCCACAGCTGTGATGTTTCTATTCCCCTGACTCTGACCAGGCTATTCTTAGCCCTCTGATCCCTCCCTAACTGGGCAAAGACAGGCCCTTCCTGCAGACCTGCCAGTCCTGTCTCCTCCCCCAAGACCCACCAAACACCCCCTGGACCCACTACCTCTCGCCTCTGCAAACCTGCCAGCAGCCCCTCACCCTGAATAACTTATCTTGGGCTGCCTGCGCCACTCCCAACAGTGGCGAATGCCTGCACATGCTACTCCTGGTCTAGTCTAGGCACCTTAGAGCCACTTAAAAGTAGACTGGGTGCAGTGAACATTTGTATGTACCCAAGATGTCTATGTTTGATTCTATTCCAATGTACTTGAGTCCATGGCAAAATCTTTGGAAAAAATTATCAAGGCTCACATTTGCGAGAGCCCGGCAGGACAAATTATGCTGAGGGGAAACCAGCACGGGTTCGTAGAAGGCAGATCGTGCCTGACTAA